TCAACATTGATTCTAGATGACAAACCCCAAAACCTCTCTAGTTTGGTTTTGGAGGAACGACAAAAAACGGCGTATCGGTCTCTCTCTCCGTATGTTTTTTTATGACCTCTCGATTCATTTTTCGCCCTACCTCTCACAAACACACGTACTTGCATCTTCATACTTTGGAATTGTTGACCTATTGCCTGTGGGGCCTGCCGAGCAGCACAAAAACTTCTTCCCCAAAAAAAACTTGATGAAAAGAATTGATTGGACTGAACTGGGCAGGCAGCGGGCGCAGTTGTTCTTTCATGTTGGTTGATACTGATCATAGTGATAACGGATATCAGTCGTTTCTTGACCTTTATCCTTTCCGCTGGTGTTGTTTGTTTTGTTTTTTATGTAGTGAACAATTATATAGTTTGTAGGTTAGCCCTAAAAAACTGTACATATTTCATCAATCTATCTAAAATTTCATTGTTGAGCTTATCAACAACAAACTATGAAACTATAAAATTGAGAAAATGACAATTTTCTAATTTAAAGAGCAATCATTTTTCACCTACACCTACAACCCACGTGCTCTTTGACCACCTGCCAACCCAATGTTTTTCATTTACTTCAATTTTGATTTCTTGGTTTTCTACCCCAGAAAAATTCCTTAGAGCTCTGAAAACCATTTAGCTTACAGTTTAGTAAATTTCGAATTTCGAACAACAGCTGCTACCAGAAAAGGAATCCACTAGTAAATCTCTGCCATCTAAACGACCATATAATTTGGCGTAATAATGCCCCCGGGTCTCTCTCTCTCCGAATGCCCTCGGTACCCCTAAGTACATGCAATTGTGACCCAAATGGCTCCTCGCACCGAGTGTCCGCGCCCGGCGCCTACTGTACGACCTTCGTTCGCCGTATCCATATATCCAAGGAAGAATTGAAATGGTGGAATATAAAAAGAGTGAAGGATAGGCGGGCGGCGGTAGGTGGCGGAGAAGGGATGGTGCCTGAAGAAGAACAGATGACGCCGCTCGTATAGAGGATAGATAGAAACACAACACACGTATACAAAACGTCAGCATCTCTTCGGAATCGGGTGGGGTCCACCACTGCTTGTATGTTTCTTCTTTCATTATACTCAAATCTCTATCTGCCTGTTTGTCAATAGAAGGAGAAGAAGAAGAAGTGAAGATTTAGAATCGGACAAACACAACATATCCCTAATTCGTTGTCTCTTTTTGACCGGTTCAGTGTTTTTTGCTGTTTGTTGTTGTTTCTTCGCTAAATATCTTTATACTGAGAACTAGTGTGTTTGAAGTATTCAGAAAAATCCTCATACAGTATTTCTACGTCTTCATGCTTTCCCGGTAATTATCCTACGAAATTCTAAATTCTGCTTGGGCAGAAACATATTGTTTTGAATTTGCTCAGTTCTTAGGGTCGCTCCAGCAATGTCGAAATGCCGAATTTCCTATAAAATTTTTGCTGTAAAAAATTAATACCGTATTTCCTTTAATAGAAGTCCTTCCAAACCGTTAATTTCGAGTCATTTCATCTTGATTTTTGTTAAAGATACCAAAAAGTTTTTAACTGATACATTTTTATCAAAAAACCACAAAATTTTTCAGTGGACACATTTTTTATATTTTGCGTAAGAAACAAGATAATTGAGCTTGAAAATGCTGGATTTCCTGATAAAGCCTTGCTGACAGAAATCAATATTTCTAAATTTCAACCTTTCAAAGTACCGTACCCAATTTGATCAGAAATCCAAACATTACCGCTATTAGTTTATCAGGTGTTCTCCAAGAAAATCGATTTCTCTGGACTTTTCGGAAACTATCTCCTATCTTTTCTCCCAATGACTAGCCATCACAAAGTTGATCCTGAACAATTGGCGTTTGTGTGTTCTTCGTTTTCCTCTAATTTTTATTTGTTCTATCCCATTGGAATTAATTTTTCATATCTAGAAATTGAAACAATAAAAGATAAATTAATTTCCAGAAATGTGCAAAACGGGCGTTTTGCACTGGTGCACGACGGCAAAAGGGAGAAAAAAAATGAAATGAGGGAAAACGGGGTGATCTGTCAATTTTCTCCTTTTCGTTTTCTCCACACCAATTTTTCCTTCTTCTCCTTTTCCTTATCTCGATTTCCTCGTTTCAACTTTCAATTTTTTCCCCATACAAACCTTTCTCATTCAAGACGTCAGTTTTTCTAATATTGTTAGAATGACCCTCACAAATTTCTTAATTTCACTTTGATGCCCTTGTTTTCATTTTTTTTCTCTAGAATCCAGATTGAAGGTTGGAAAATTAGAAAATTGGAAAAAAAAGAAGAAGCAAAAAATGATTGCCATCGGTTTCCTTTTTTTAGGATGAAAACAAAATTGGAGGACTATAAATTTGATTAACGAGCATGAGATATAGCATGTTTCTAAGAGAACCCAGGCTTCCCATAAAATCAAAGCAAAGAAATTTCGGGGGTATTCTTCTTCCTTCTGGTTTTGATATCAGATCTACTGTAGAGCTCCACGGCGATTTCTAAGTGCTTCTGTGTATTTTACTCTGAAATTTTGAAATGGAGGTTAGTTGTTTTCTACCAGAAATGACATTAGATAAGAAGTTAACTATTTCGTTTCAAAATTATAAAACATAGGAAGAAATAACTTTCTCCGACATTTTTTTGTTTCAATCAGTTTTGATGTCATCATCCCACTCCAGATGATCAATTTCAAAGTGTTTCCTAACAGACAATTGAACTATTGAACAAACTTCAAAGTGGCCAAGAGCCCACCACTCTTAACATCAAGCACGTGACTGCTGATGAAGCGAAAAAACTACTCCACCATCTCATACACGTGCCGTGTTTCGAGTACGATTTGCCGGTGTGCAAGTGCCATAAAAAATGCAAGGTAATATGAGTAATTAGAGAAACGTTGATTTGGAGGTCCGTGGATTTATTAGTTTGGCTTTTGTGAATTTTCTGATTGATTTGGTTTGAGTCTGATTTTTTATTTGATAGGAACTGAACTTCCATGATGCATACAGTACTGGTCAATAAAATGTACAAAAACATTTTTCGGTTAATTATCACTATGTGGTTAATTATCACTATGTGTAAAATTTGCATTAACACTTTTTTTTTTTGAAAAATCCTAGTTTTTCAGCTATTTCCTGATTTCTGAAAGCCACTTCTTTTTGGTCCGTTCTTATCTTGACTTTTGAAAAAATGTGTCTTTTTGAAATCAGCAAATAGTAGAAAATCTGGGAACTTTCGAAAAATTCTGTGAATGCAAAGTTTCCAATCAAAGTATGTTTCACACTCTCCTAAATTTTCAAATTGTTTGGAAACTTGAGAGCTGAGCTCCGGACTCATGAATATGGTCAAAATGACCAAAATACAATTTAAAAAAATACTTGTTTGTATATTTTATTGGCCGGTACTGTAATCTTTCAAGTTTGGGTTTCTTTTTACATTCAGCTTGATTCGCAATTATAAAAACGTTCCATCATCTATCTGCATGCTTTATCTATCCACTTTTCCCCCCAAAACCCCTTGACCCTCTATCTTAGAAGTCACATTACAATCAACACAAATTCTCATCTCACTTCCTAAATTCCCACCTGATCATCATCATCATCTACTTCATTATCTCACAAACAAATCTCCTTTGCGTTTCGAACTTCTCAACAGATATTTTATCAACACGGTGTTTCGCTACGGTTTTTTTTCCGAACAGGAACCGGTTGTTCCATCAACTTTTCATATCATTCTTCTCATATTCTTCTAATCAGTAGAAATGGCAATGACCGTTTTTTTTTCTCTCAAAACGCCCGATTCCCAAACAAACACACATACAAACGCATTGAGAAACGATTGGGGGATAGAAATCTTGGTCCTTCTTCTTATCTATGGACTACATCATAGCGCATTCTCTGTTTGTTTGGACACATATACCATGATTCTTGTCACAGTTTTTAAGGGTCTCAGAAGATTGAAAACTAGAGATCATTTTTAGACTTTACGGTTTTTAGGATTTTCCATGCCACCTGTTCAAGTTGGACTAAACATTAACAAAAAATTCTTCTCATTATAGTTTGATCAAAAGTTTAATATTCAGCAGGTGCAACTTGAATTCTTTTTGGCTCTTTCAGTTTCAGTTAGTACTGCTTGGATCTCTTTTGTTCATACCTCTATAAAATCATTTTTCGTCCATCCATCAATCACTCCAGTCTGGCATACGATGAGAGTGATTAGGATCGGATATAAACAGTTTTCTTCCAAACATGCGGAGAAACAAGTAGGCAAACCGAACGTGAGTAGGGAGAATACAATAAGACTAGGCGAAGGGTCATACAAACTGACACGACTAATGTTGAGACGGTTTGTTGTTGTGTTCGGATCCAGAGGAGAAAGACCGATTCGGATCAATCTGAACACTTTTCTTTATCCCTTGGTCACATTCTTCGCTTTTTTTCTTTAAAGGAGGCCAGACACCAAAAAAAAAGTTTTCCTGATATTTTGCATAGAGAACCCCCATGAGGGGTTGAACTCATGACTGTCAGCTCAGGGGTACAGCGCCGCTACCGGTTGAGCTACGGAGGCGCGAAGGCGCCTGACGACCGATGGTCTACATAAGCGCGGCGCGATTTTGTCCCCCGAACTGCCCCCGAGGTTTTTGCTGTCTCGCCTCCTTTAAAATTGCGTACTACAGATCTTCAAAAAAACTCATCAAAATATTCGATTACTTTTTTCCACCTTGATCACTTGCTAATGATCTGAAAATAAACCTTCTGAAAATGAACTTTTTTGATATCAAAACAAAGGCAAACTGTTTCTTTGTGTTCTTGTACGAACTGATCAAATATCTGATGTACTGGACACGAAAACACTCCTCTATTTTTCCCTGCAGACTTTGTGACCGATAACTGATTCTTAGAATTCCTCGCGAGTTTCTTGTCTAAGATTTTGTTCAATTTTTCTGATTATAATAATGAAAATTCAATTTACAGGCTGTAAGGATGTACTCATCTACGCCATCGTCGCAGCCTCCACCTAAACAAGCTCGACAGCAGCCACCGTCGCAGCAGTACGGACAACAGGCTCCACCACCGGCATACAACTATCAAGGATATGCGACACCGATGGGACAAATGGGCCAGGGCAATGGAATGGGAGCAATGGACGGTGGAGGGATGCAGCAGCCAAATATGGGAAACATGATGGGTCATCAAATGGGACAACAACACCAACAAGTGCAGCAACAACAACAACAACATGCTGGACAAATGGGAATGGATAACCGATCAATGAACAACACACAGATGTCTGGAATGGGACAGCAAATGATGTCTAACCAGCGAATGGGATCGGGAATGGAGCAAATGAGACCAGGACAACATCAACAACAACATTTAGGAAACAATCAAATGCATGGAATGAACAACCAGATGAATATGAATCAAGGAATAAACAACAGGATGAATCAAGGAATGAGTTCTGGAATGAGCCATGTGATGAACTCTGGAATGAATTCTGGTATGAATTCTGGAATGAACTCTGGAATGAACAACTCCATGGGATCCATGGGAGGAATGATGGGAGACCATTCCATGGGAATGCAACAACACCAAATGGGACATCAGATGGGACAACATCAGCAGCAACAGCAAATACAGCAATCGTGAGTTTCAGGGTTTTCAGAAGACCAACTTTAATTGATCTGTTTGAACTGTGAAAGTACAAAAAGATTTAAACAAAATCAGCTGAAATTGTGATCACACATTTCATCGTGGTCCAGCAGATCTTTGGATATTGGAGATTTGCGAACTAGCCTGGCTAAACTTGTCTAGAAATCAGAACCATCTGTATAATTTTTTCGGGATTCTGGAATTTTTAACAGGTTTGAAAATGGACCCAATCCGGTCGCCAAGATTTCATGAGTACTACACAATGATAATGTTTGGAACAATGCATTCTGCCTATGAACAAATTTAGAAATCAAAAAGCTGAAAATCCGGTCCCTGCCTGTTTCTTGGGCCCTAATCGCCATTAGCTTTGTTCATGGACATGATACAGTTTGAAAAAGGATATCATTTAGTAGTACTTGTCGAGTTCTGTCACATCTGATCAAGTTGGCCCGAACATATTGACAAGGAACTATGGCAGGACATGCCAGGGCCCTGATTGAGCCTTGGCGGGTCTGCAAGTCTGTTTTTTTTAATCTCCCTTCAAAATTGGATATCGAAAAAAATTCCCAAACATTAATCTTGTTGAAAAGTGTGAGATCTTTCTAGAATATCAAATGGCCATTTTTCTCCTGGTCCACGAGGTTCAGACATCTCTCGATTTCCCACAGAGCAAACATTTGAAAAATAACAAGTGACCCCACGTGACTTTGAATATTCTGCGTGCCGTCAACGATTGAATATGAAAGTGCACAGAGGCGCATTTTTTTGTCACAAACACTTTTTTCTCTGTCTAGTTTCCTTGTGATCATTGGCATGGTTAGTTAATCAGTAAACTCACGGCGACAAAAACAACAACACAAAGTTGATCATAAAAAAAAGAGAAGCCTAGAAGATAAATATTTTTTTCGCTGTGGTGCAAGAGCTTCATTGCCATCACCGCCTTGTTTTTGAGATTGTCTAAAACTGGAATGGAAAATAGGGAATGTTTTTTTCTGAAAAACGAATCATCACGGTGGTAGTAGCAAAAAAATAGAGTGAAAAAGTTTCTGAAAAAGCAGGAATTCCAGTCCCAGGAAACTGGTCATTGAAACAAATGACAACATATTTACTCACTTCTCACTAACTTTTTAATTCCCCATACCATCGAGAGGATTTTTCAAAAAATACATGTCTTCAAAAACAAGTATTTTCCTGCTTATTTTTCAGTTTTTTCTCTCCTTATTTCTCTTCTTTTTCACTAGGAACGCCGTTCCAGGAGAAAAAGATGGACTATTTGTTTTCGCAAGAGGTCCCCCTCCTGACCAAAGATATACTAGAGAGATGTGCACACACATGTACACAAAGTTTTTCTCTCCTCCACGACATCTTCTAGTGTTCTTTCCAGATAAGTGGGTGGTCTTCTCTCTTTTTTAGTAGTTGTGTTGCCTGTTTTTCATGACTTGGCGAAAAAAAAAACAGGAGGGAGAACTTGTTTTTGACAATCACGGTATCCTTATTCTAACCATGTTCCAGTGATGTATGATTTGCTAGCTTCTGAGAGAGCTCATACCTGTTTTTTCTCTGTGCAGTGTAGTTTGTTTCTCATTCTGTTTTTTTAAGCACACATTGTTATTACTTCTGCTAACTCATATTGTTTTTTTTTTCAGTACCAGTAATCCTGGAAATAATCAACAACAAATGCAACGTATGATGAACCAACCTGCCTATTCTCAGCAGGAAAAGCAACGGATGGAGCAGTTCCAACGGCAGCAGCAGGAACAACAGCGTCAGGTACAGTAATCCAAGAGAATTGCCATTAATGTATGAAAAAACTTGTTTTTAATTGATTTTGCCCCTTTTCAAGAGTATAGAGCTCACATTCAGCTGTCAAGTGTTTCATCACTTTGCAACTTTTGAAGGTTTTGAAACAGACCTAGATTGAAGACTTTGCAGTTACAAAATATTTTGAAATATCCTAGTATCTCAGTTATTTGCTGATTTCTGAAAGACACCTATTTTTTCCTATTTTTGTACTGAAGACGTAAAGAAAAGCAGGTGTCCTTCAGAAAAATGAAAATAACTGAAAAACTAGGAATTTTTGAAATTCTGTAACTGCAACGATTTCAATCTAGGTCTGTTCTATAACCTCCAAAATGTTTAAAGTGATCCGACACTTGAAAGCCGAGCTCCACACTTCTGAAAGTGGAAAAAATCAACAGAAAAACACGTTTTTCAGCTCTTTATGGCCGGCACTGTCTCGTTGAGCTTTTTTACACTAATCTTCTAGACAGATCGGTAGAGCTTCATTGCCATTAGAAGCATTTTTGAATAATAACGTTTCCTATTCAAATTGATCCATAAATTTTCTCATTATTCTATCCCCGGGAAAACCAAAAAAAAAATCGAGTCGATTACAAAACACATTTCGAGTGACCTGAAAAGTGTATAGATGGCTAACAACATCACGCCCCATTAGAAATTTCCTGAAAGTGAAAACGGAAGGTGTACGTTTTTACCGCCTCCTCGCTTTCCCCTCTTGTCCAGGTCCGGGATTTAGTTGCGTTTGCAAGAAGCCCTTTGACTACTAAGCTTCCCTCTTTTTCTGGAAGAAACTTGCGCGCATGCCGCCCGCATCTATATATTTAAAACTACATACGGCTTATAAATAGGTGGTCTATTACATGTTCCCCCTCTCATTTTCTTTCATTTCGTTTTCACATCATTCATCTTCTGTTCACTGATCACGCTGCCTGAGAGAACAACACTTCTAGTCTAGACTCGTGAGATTACTCACAGTGTTTTTATGCACTTTCTTGAAAGCGATAACAATAACATGACCAATCCCTTCTTTTCCAGATGCAAAACTATCAACATATGCAACAAATGGCTCCAATGCCAATTCAAGCTCCGGTGCCCCCACCAGCAAAACCGGCTCCAAAAAACAATTCCAGAAGGAAGAGAACGGTTAACAAGGCTCAGTTAGATGAACAGGTGCCGCCACCACCACAGCAAAACTATCACTTCCAACCACCACCGAGCTACGGTTATCAGCAGGTATTAAAAGAGCAAGAGTGCATAGTTAAAGATGCCTCTGTTTACAGAACAACAGTATGTTAGGAGGACATCAAATGGGCGGTGGGCATCAGATGGCATCTGGGCAACAACCACAACACCATTCCATGATGCACGGTGCACCAGGAAGTTCCTCGCAAACTACGAGTCAATATACCAATCAAAAGTATGTTTAAATATAATTAGCTCGCTCTGTCAAAACATTCCTTTTTATGCCCTAACATTCCCCTGTTTTGCAATTGCTATTTTTGTCTATTCCAGGTCGTCGGAAATGGTCCGTTTGGAGCTTCGCAACTCCATCCAAGCGAAGCAACAGAAGGCAAAGGATCAGCCACCAATAGAGCAGCAACAACAACGTGAGTTTGACTCTAAATCCTGACGGCATGATATTTAGTAACTGACTTCTAGCTCTATTTATGTTTTTCAAACGGGAGGAAACCAAAATTATGTTTAAGATCCTTCCGCAAAATGACGTGCGGACTTGAAGTTTGTAGAACTCACGGAAAAAAATGGAAATGATAAATAGTGATGTTTGCAAACACAAACAACTCAATTGAGCAGCGTGAAAAGTGTGTTCTTGGAAAATATTCAGTCGCTGGTCATCCGTCTAGTTTTTTTTGTTAGAAATAGCTCTGTGGAGTAAATATTTTTGTTAGAAATAGAATAAGAATTTGAACACTTCCGTTTTCTAAAAGTCCAAAGCCTTTTCTTGTAATCTTAGCACATGATTTCTGATTTTACGAACTGAAATAAGAGCCAGAGGCAAAAAATTAAAGCTTCATTGAGAATTAGATTTCCTTGGTTAGCTTCCTTGTCGAGTGTTTCCTTGAGTACTTTGATCTCTACGTGCATTTCTGGAGCAGGAACTACTTATTCCAACAAACTTGTAAATAAAAAACAAGTGGGAGGACGGCAGGCCAAGGATTTCCGGATTTCTGTTTGTGAAATGTTTCGAGACTTTTAGATTAGATGATGTGAGGACTTCCTTAAATTTTTTCTCCATAAGAAGGCCGGTGTTAACAAGGAAAACAATTTTTGGGGCGACAAGAGATGGACGAGCTGAAAAGAGAGAAAAGAGAGCAATTATGGGTTGTAATGAAAAACAACAACATGTTGATGACCTCACTTACTTTCTACGGAACGAACAGCACCGGCGGCACCGACTAGGGCGGACGCCATTGGAGAAAATATTTTTGTAGTTGGAACTCGGGCGTAGTCGGAACTCTTTTTTTTCTCTGCTCACTATAACAAGTGTGGATTTGTGGTGCGAAAAACATCGATGCTGTGTTACTTGACGCCTAAAAAACATGTGTATCATATACACTATACTTGCGAACGAACACTTTGTGTCTACAAAAAATAAGAACATGGCACGGCTTCTTGCTTCGCTCGCTCCCCCGTTTTCCTGAACAAGCCGCGCGTCATGTGTGGTCAACAAGAAATGGGCTTTTTCCGGCAAACAGGCTATTTGTCGGGCCGTTCCTTTTTCTCAATCTATCTCTCACTTGTTCGTTTTTCTAAAAACAGAACACACACTGAGAATCGTCGACGGCGTTGAAAAACAAAAAATGCAGACAATAACAGCTTGTTTCTGTCTTTATACTTTAAGCTCCAAAGTTTAGAACAGGGCGGGGCTTTGGAATGTCGTACTAAAATAAAAACAGAACTTTGAAGAGCTTATTTTGACAGTATTTTTATTCAAACATCAAACGACACTTCTCTTGTGCGATTTCTGTTTTTCCTTCTCTCCCGTTCATTATTAATTTTGAAGCTACTGTGTTTTTGTCCCAAGACATGAGCAGAATCTGAAAAAAGCACAAATCCTTGTCTTCTTGGAACCATCGTCGTCTTGTTTTTGAGCAGGAAACCATGGAACCACCACAATAACAAGGTGTTCTTTGTAGAATAAGGATACCGTAGTCGGGTTTCGATAATCTGGTCTTCATCCGCTAGAAGAAAACATCCAATGTTTTTGGTATGATAGCTTCTAGACATATTATTATTGGATACATTATCAATATCAATTATTATTGTTCCCCGTAATACATTTTGAGTTTCTCGGAGAACCAAATGTGGGCGGAGTTTCTATGAAGTAGAAAAATAATAAAATCACTCTTGAATGCGAAAAACATTGGCTAGTCTGACGAATCCTTTCCACTCCTCTTAGGTCCCGCCTCTCTATCTGACCCTCCCACTTGTTGACACCTATACGCCTCATAACTCATTTCATTCATTCTTCAGATCGTATTCCGGCTGCTGCTGTCACTACTTCTGCTGCTCAACAAGCACCAATGCAACGCACCATGCAACAAGAAATGATGGGAAACCATATGGGACAATACCAATATAGCGGACAAATGGGACAAGCTCAACATGCACCACAGTACCACCAACCAAACAACATGGCCACGCAAATGGGACAACCACACCCACAACAAATGGGAGAGGTTGGAACATTCAACACGCCACAGGGACAAACTGTCAATGCTAATGTAGCCAACACGCCGGTATCGAGTGTCGCTAGCACTAGCTCGGCTGGAAGTTTGGATTTCCCAAGTGAACTCGGATTCTTTGACATGCAGGTAAAAAAATATCGATATGTGTGTCAGAATTGAAAATGTGTGTTTTTCAGGACCCAGAGCTTCCAGTTTCATACGACAAGCTGGAGGAGAATCTCAGATCTCTTAACGTCCATGATTTCCAAATTCTTGGACGCTGCTCTGTAAGTCATTAGAGAGCAAATGTTGGAAATCATCACATTTTTTCAGAAATTTCAGTTTGACTTCTCAAACCAGCAAACCATCGACTTGGTCCGCCAAATCCTACTCATGTAAAGACCATCACCAGGTGCCTTTGAAATTCTCCAGCGTCTGATCTCCTCGTCGATCAATATTCACAGTCTCTGATCCTTATTTGTAGTTGCCTTGCCTTGTTTGCTTTGTCTAATTAACTATTCTAGCTAAAGGCTTACTCCACAATCATCCTCCAAGTCATATTTCTTTGAAAGCCGTGCTCCAACCCCAAAAATTGTAATCTTTACTGATTAAAAACTTAAGCTTTTTCTTTGGTACCCCCTTCCTATTTTGCATCTTAAAACCCCAACCTTCTAAAACTAAGTCTCTCCTGTCCAAATAGTCCATGCTAGGAACAATATTATTCCCCCACCACGCAGCTAGGTCTCTAACTCCCAGTCATTGCCGCCGTCCCATTCCAAATCTCACCCTGAAAATAATTCCATCCCAAAAAACACAATTTTTTCTCTCCCCTCAATCGGTCCCAAATTTCATCGTGAATTCCCAATGCATTCATTTTTCTTTGCCCAAAAATCTTGAAAAATCAAAGCTCTTTTGATATGTTTCCCATGTTTCCAGTCTCTCTGTCCATCACTTTTTGCTTTTCACATCCCATTAGGATATCATTGATCCCAATTATTATTTTTTGTTGTTGTATTTCATCCACCAGTCATTTAGCCAAAGACCCTCAAACATTTATCTGCTAAAAAAACAGAAAAAAAAAGACAATCGGTTTTGTCGAAAAAAATCTTGAGTTGTATAACTGTATCAAATATTATATATAAAACACTGATGTATTTATCTGCACATAATAATGTATAATGGAAACAAATAAAATTCTTCTTGAAAAAATAACAACTTATTTTTGTGTTTGCAGGGAAAAAATATGATGACGAATGCTTTTTCAAAAACTCAATATATCCGCTACTTGTTTTTGTGTGTCTCATTCTTTTTCAAAAATATTTTTGATCATGAACAAACAAATGATGTGCGCTGAATATATTAAGGAGGAACATACTCCAACACCTAACATTGTCTGCACAAGTAAAGTCCCGGTGTTTAGAAATGAATTATTCTAGTCGCTAGTAGTTTTGTTAACAGAATGTACTATGTTGAGTCTTACGTTCTGCTTGAAATAGCAAGAGGAATGAAAGTATATTACTATCAAAATAGTGAAAAAATTCAAACACTCTAATAGAATTACTTCCTCGCAGTGAAATGTGAGCTGATTTATCTGAGCTCCTATAATAGCTATCAGAAAGTGATCAACTAGAAAAACGTTTTTACTCCATCAAAATGTCAATTGACCATTATCTGTAATTTCTCTAATAGAGGTTTACCAGTATTTGAAGTCATTTCAGCAAAAAAATTTCTTTCTTCGATTTTCTGGTAATTTCCATTAATTCAATCAGGGTCCGGCCCGGCGGGCCTGAATTTTCCAAATTCGAAAAAAATTGAAATTTCAGAAATTTTTTCCAGTTTTTTTTGGGAAAAATTATTTTTTAATGGTACTCTTATCTTGGAAAAATGTTTTTGACAGAAAAATTGTTCATTTTTTTCTATTTACCCCGAAAATTTTTTTCTGAAAACCCGGGCCGAAATGGGCCGGGCCTTGGAAATTCTAAAAAAGCAAGACCCGGCACGGCCCGTTGCAAGTATGCTTTAATTCTTGTCGTTTACTCAAAATGTTAATGTTCAGACTTCTACATTCTTTTTTTGTTCGTATATTGTCTGATGTTTTTATTATTCACCATAGCGTTTAATAAAATAATAAAAATGATTCAGTTGCGTTTCGTCAGTTTTCTGGGTCCACAATTTTTAATTGCCTCGATTGGAGAATAGTGAAAAAACGCATGTTTCCAGACTTTTTCAGAGGATTCAGATAGTTTTCAAGATTTCATCTCATAAATACATAAAAAAAAACTTTAGGAAAAACATCACTTTTCGAAAATTTTAATTAAATAAATATTTTAGGTCGGAGACCCTTTTCAATTGAGGATTAATCATTGTGAGACAAAGGAGACAGTGTGTTAGACAGGCAAAGTCATAACCATTGCAGTCTCTACGCCTACTGTGCCTGTTTGCTAATCTGCCACGTAAAATGACTTATCCATCTCATTTGGTTCTCAAGGTATGATCCAAAACCTGGGTGCGCGTATAAACCTCCAATGCATTGTACTAATTCCCCTTTGGGACAGAGGAGGGAGTATGCTCATCATTCAAGGTCATTCCTTTACACACGTATTTGGACCCCTTCGCCTATTGATCATCTTCCACGTAGCTCCTTCTGTTCTTATTCATATTCTGTCACCATAAACATACATTTTTCGAGGTTAAAACTCGTTTTTCAAGTTTTTCTTGAGTGCGAAACTAAGTTTTGAATTTTTTTCTATCTTCTAAAATAGTTTTTGAACATTTTCAAAAAAATGTTTTTTTCTTGAAAATTTTTGAAAAAAAAAACCTCCATGGGTTCCCCCACACTTCAAAAACTGATTTTTTGAAAATATTTTGAAAAGTTCGAAAAAATGTACCAGTCATTCAGACACGATAAAAATAGCATTCTGTCAAAAATTTCGTCTTTGGGCTCAAAAAATCTCCGAAATGGGATTGTTGTTGGTACTTTGAAAATCCCTAACTTCTAAAAAATTGCTTGAAGTTAACTGAAAACTATCGAAATGGGTTCAAATTTTGTATGTGATCGATTCAACAGTACTCCTCCTTGAAAAGAGCAAAGTTGAGCAATTTTCAGGAGCTGAAGTTTTCGTTTTTCAACGATAGGATGATGTAAGGACCGGTCGAAAATATCATTATTTAATTTTTCATCACGTTCTCATAAACATTTTTTAAATTTGAAAATCTTGGAAATTCATCAAACAAGTATCGTAAAGTGTCTAGAGGGTCAAACTGGAAATCAAAAAATTGGCTTCGGAAAAAGTAAAAAAAAGTTTTACCGCAGTTGGGTTCGAACCACCATAGTTTTGCCTATTGAGACCCTCATACCACAACACCACAAAACACATTTTTCTCTCACGCGAAAGTGGTAGAGGAGGGAGAAGCCGAAATCGGCTGTGTCGCAAATTCGGCTAAAAACTTTCAGACGACGTTTTTCAGCCTGCGAGTGAGAACGGGCTAAAAATTTTTTCGTCATCGTATAGAGCATGTTTTAAACTATAAGTATGCAAATGTTGAGCAAAACCGGTATCTCACAAGTTCTGGAATTTTGAATTGTCGTATTTTCTCTAATAGAAGTTTATATTAGAGAGTGGGATTCTATTTTTCAAAGCACCTCGCGGGGTTTTATTAGAGTCGGGCTTCAAATAAAGGTGGTCTTCTATTAGAGGAAATACGTTATGAATTAACAGAAGACTTCGAATTACCTGGTCAAAATGTTTAGAACGCTGATAGTCAAAATTGTTGACTTGTATGTTTCTTTTTTGAGTAGCGGTTCGTTATATTTAAGTGCTAAAAGTTCTAGCATCACACGAAAGCAATCTCTAACATCTTTTCCGTCTAGGACCGGAGATGAACTCCTGAGTTGTCGTTTTATTTCTCGGAATATGCAAAGCAGAGGGTGTTTTTCGCGAGCCATCCTTGGTCGAACATAATTTCCCAAAGCAGACAAGCAACATTGCATGTTCTGTATAGTCAAAAATTCTATAGTTATTTGTTCGTTTGAAGGAGGAGGTTGT